ACAATTTCAGCTAGGTGGTGAATTACGTCCTTGAACGTAACGCACACATCTGGAACATCGTAACTCCAAATTGCAGCCTAGAGTACGTTTTCCCCAACAATAAAGCGCATAAAAACGTCGCCAGACCCGAAAAAAAATCGACAAAATCGACAGCAGAGGGGGTGAAGGCGACATAGAAGACTATAGCAGGAATACGGGTTGTGTAAACAAAAATCAGCTCAGACCGAGTTAATCACTGGCGATCGACGAATTGAGGAGGGTATCGGTAGCCGGTAGCCGTGACCTGTGTCAGCCCGCCGCTCCCCTAGCCTCCGCTCATTCCCAACAGGATGAGTAAACATTTTCGGAACGCCGATAGCTTAGCTAGCGATTGTGATCAAAATATTGGTGATGGGAAAATTCAAGCTTGAAATGGGGATGGAAACTCTGATGTTGATTAGGACGCCATCAAATGTAGAGCAAAGAAGAAAAATGTGCCGTTTGAATGGATAATGCGAAAAAAAACGCCTCTTTTGAAAATTCTACCAAATGCAAAGTTTCGCTTATTCACAGACCAAAAAAATTTGTTAGTTTCCCAAGGAAATTTTTCCGAAACTAACCAGTCGAACACACAACTCTTAAACTTTTGATTCTTTCTTAGTGAATATCCCCACACGCCTTTCTCTTTCCATTAACTGGTCTTACCTTTAAAGCGTAAAAATATTCCCAAGAAAACTGTGCAAAAATGCTTCAAAAATTTTTTCGCCGTTCATTATTTGATTTTTTATGCATGGCATGTTTTGCTTTTGGATGGTGCTTCAATTACTTTATTTGTAACTTCAAAAGACAGAAAATTAAATCTGGACTAAGTTTTCTAAGATGCCTTCAAACAACATGAATACATTCTATTAGGTTGGCACGAAAGTTCTGTCGCACCATTTTCAAAAATTCATAACTTCTCAATTTTACAGCCGATTTGACTGCTTTTATTCTTGTATGAAAGAGTAACTCACGCTCTTCATAACGACATCTTAGCTGCTTGCTATCGACCATCTCTTGCATAGATAGGAGCGGTAGAAGAAAATTAGTCAAGATTCGAATTTTCTGTGTAGGGTCATAAAAAATCGGGGACTTGCAATAAAAATCGGAGCAGTTGATATTGTAGGTTCTTTCACCAGCTCTTTTTAATAGTACAAAGTTTGCGCCGATTGAGCATTTCTATGAAAAGTTACGATTTTCGAGCAAGCAATACAAAAGGGCGAATTTGATTTATTTTGGCAATCAGGGAAATCTGCTCTGATTTTTATTGCAAGTTTCCGATTTTTTATGGCCCTACACAGAAAATTCGAATTTTGACTAATTTTCTTCTATCGCTCCTATCTATGCAACAGATGATCAATAGTAAGCAGCTAAGATGTCGTTCTAAAGAGCATGATTTACACTTTCATACAAAAGTAAAAACAGTCAATTAGGTTGGAAAAATCAGATGCTATGAATTTTTGAAAATGGTGCGACAGAACTTTCGTGTCAACCTAATAATTTCAAAATTGAAAAATCAAATAAAACCTTAAATGAAATTCTGGAGATTTTGGAAACCTTATCGTTTTTTTCGACACAATTTTAAGCCTTCATGATAGAGTATATAATTCTCTTCTTGGCTAGTTTCATGACAACAAAAATTCTTTTCATCAAGCGTCGCTAAAAAATGCACGATTTCTTCTATCAACTGTTGCGAACTCTCTAGAACCAAAGAAAATTACAAAATTTCCGGAAATTTCATCGCGAGAGTCATGCAACATCTTTTTTGGCTGTAGCAAAACCACGAGCAACTTATTATCTTCTAAAGCAACTTTTTTCAAAATTCAACTCTGAAACTCCCATAAAATGCCAATCTCAGAGTAGAGGACATATTTTCCAAATTGCAGCCTTGACTTCCTTTACTTATCTGAACATTTTTAAGTTTCGGAAAGCTTTAAAAAATCGCTATTATAGGGAAAACATAAATGGTCCATAGAAACAAAGAAAGCAAATTCAGATTGAACACTTGCGAAACTGGAACGGGTTCGGGTTCACCTGGTACACTCGGCACTCGGCCAAACAATAACTGATGATGTGAAATCGCTAGACCAAACAGCCGCGTGCTCCTCGCCTCGCTGCATTCACCTCTGGCCCCGCGTTCTGCTCCCTATTGTGACCAGTGTGTATAGCAATTTCTTCTTGCCCACACCACCCTACGATTTACAACCGATTAGTCAACGATGCTGCTGCTGGTCAGCTAGGTGATTATTCTTCTTATACGCGTAAAATTACAATGCTCCAACTATTCGGAGCCAGCTTGTGGTCAAAACCAATGGAATCGCTCGTGGATTAATCGTACATTAAGCACGAACAATACAAACAACTGATTCTGTCAGTTATCCAAACTTACTCAGATTGATATAATTAGGAAGATAGTCTGGCGGCTCAGATATTCCAGTGCTGTGCGATTGTTATTATAAAGCATGAAAAACAAACTCTGGAGAGTTCGTTCGCCAGCAAGGATCATCTAAAAGCTTTTGCAGATTGCCTTTACAGGCTCTGAAGAAATTCGATTGGCGAAATGTTGGCCGTGCTTTGAAAAGAACGATTCAACAATCTCATCCATGGCTACCACAGGTTGATGGGACAAACACTTTTTCGGAATATCGGCGGACAAGCGGTATGCAGCGTTGTTTAGAGTCAGCGAACTGCGTCCGAAGATGATTGATTGGCTTTAGTCATTGCACCCTTTCGAAATTCAGGGTTCATTTGCATGTAGTATTAAGCAAAGCCACCTGGTGGCTTACGACTGCTCAGTATAGAAGATACTAGAACCATGCCGAGTTCTATCGAGTGTACATATAGCCGCAAAGTAATCAATCAAAAAAAATTGGACCTATGCTGATGAGGGAGGATATAATGGCCAGCCTCCGGATAAGAACGTTTTCACGGTGTGTTGCATCACCGTAAGTCGGTGGCGTTCAGAGGAGAGAAGGCAGAGGAGGGGAGGAGGCGCCTTACCCTGAGAATGGTACGCGAGATTTTTGAAAGTTACTTATAGGAGTGATAAATATGTGCAAGGGACTTGTTTATATCATAACTTATAATAACGGGCTAAGGGTGTTTACGTGACTTTGTGTGTGTGTGTGTGAGTGTGTGTGTGTGTGTGTGTGTGTGTGTGTGTGTGTGTGTGTGTGTGTGTGTCTGTCTGTCTGTCTGTCTGTCTGTCTGTAACGAAATTCATACAGCGGGTTCCAGCCGACATCCAGAGCTCAAATTTTGCATAGCGCATGCTACCAACGTAGAACTCCACCATGCAAAAGCACGAACGGATTCGCTGGGTGGGTCCCTCAGAATTTGCGCGTCAAAAGAATCCACTTCGCTTCTGGCCCGCAAAATTGGGTCCGTATCAACGCTTTTTGCAAAGCCGTGGATGTGTTTAGCAGGCTGATGTGTAAGTCATGGACTTTAGGCCAAAAAGTGACCAAAAGTTTGCTACTTTACGAAAACGACGCCAAAAACAAGTGTTCGCGTAAATGGTCAATCCGCCATGGATTTACCTGAGCATTTGAGAAGATTTTTGCATAGAGATGTAGCTCACGGTAACTATTGTCCTCATGGCGACTACCAAGCCAAAAAAAAGTTTCAAAACCTACTCAAACTTGCATTTGTTCTTCTGCGAAATGTTACATCCGCGCGGAAATCACCGATCTTACATAAAAAAGCTTTTAGAATGAATAGTTGTTTACAATTCATTCGCGATAGTCAGCATTGCGCGGTGAGTTTCAAAGCAATTATTAGGCGAGAATAAGTAACGCATATAGAGTAGAACCAGTGCGAGCCTCTGCGAAGCAGAGGTGACCCACTGATCATGATAATAAGCGGCTTAATCTGAAGTTGTGTGGAGTTTGTCCGTTACGAAATTACAGTGAAGAATGATTTACGATAATAAACATCATGTGAGGTTAAGATAGCGAGTATATTCATTTTTAACTACGGCTCACGTTGCAATAAACCAATGATTTGAGAGGCAAGCTCTCAGAAAGTGAGTTTACCACGGTTCACGATGCCAGTGCGAGCCTCTGCGAAGCAGAGGTGAAGCACTGGTTTGTAGATAAATAAAATAATTTTTCAAACTTTTGGAAGATTCAATTTAGCTTTATAAAAATTTTTTTACGGGGGGGGGGGTAACTGGCGCCACGACCGTTCTTCTAGAATTTCTGAGTTAAAGGCCCGCAAAAATTTTGGTAAGCACACCAAGAATTTTCTCGGAGTGTGTGGTCAACGCCACGCGCGCAAATTTACGCTGACGGTCCGGTCTGTCCTGTTTGGAGCAAACTGTATATTTATTTCTTCAACAGAGAACTCCAGGGCAAAACGCAAGTTTTATTAATCGGTGGCATACCCATTGTGACTTTGAAGGCAGTGTCTCACCAAAATTGGGGCAGTGCCGGTCTGCACATGTTTTGTGCCAAATCGCATTTGGGTAGTCGCCTATTTAGAGACCCTCTAAATAGGCGACTACCCAAGTGCGACTCGATCCTGGCCCTTCTACGCCGAGTAATCTTCCCTCAAAGCGCGATTTGGCCCACACGGCCGACGCTCTCGGTTTCCCCCTCCGCGTTCCAACATGTCCATCTACTTGGCGTCCACTTCCATGGTGTTACTGCCACTGGGCAAAGGCTAGGCTGAGAAGACAACTCGTCCGCGTTGCTTCCACGGGGCTCTCAAAAAACGGGGTTTTAGTATATTTTATGCTTTTGGACTCACATTGAGCTAGAGAGGGACGAAAAGGCTTGCAATGTGCAGAAATCTCAACAATCAAATTTTGGTGAAACACTGCCTTTAAACGCGTACAGTAAAATATGACTACGCAACGAGTTGATATACTCATCAAATGTCGCTGAAGTTGCGTAGATTAGATTGATCACCATAGATTGCCTCAACTTTCATCGTCTTGGTGATAGTTGCGCCTCGGCATCGTGATTGTTGCCTTCTGAAAAATGAGTTTAGAGACAAAAATACATGAGAATCTTGAATTACGCTATAGAAGTCACGCTTACAAGCCACGATGTGACAATAAACTTCCTGATCCAAATCCAGTCGACTCTAATGTAGGTCGATGAGTCGTCCGCCGGATACGGTAGCGGGGTCTGGTTTGGAGATCAATATAGCGGCCTCAAGTGCATTGGCACCTCATTTCGGCGGTCTTCTAGGTCCAAAATCAGTTTCCAGTGCATTGGCACCTCATTTCGGCGGTCTTCTAGGTCCAAAATCAGTTTCCACGTGTGATACCCATGTGTTCAGAATATGGACCCAGCCTTTGATATTGAATGTCACAGATATTTCAATTTCAAAAGAAGCCTTGAATTGATAACGCAATTTGTTACGGTTTGTGGTTGTAAACTCACAATAACCTTCTCTCCTTAAATGAGTTCTCCGTATTGCTTGACATGAGTAACCTCAATCCTTATCTAATCTACACACAATAGCTCCCTACAAAGCAAAACTGGAGTGTGATTCACTTTTTAGTAGTGCTCTCATCTTTGCGGTTTTCGCTTGTCTCACGAAGAAAAGTTCGGTCTTTTTGAAAGCTGTTTCCTGCTCGCCAGAGCTTCGTACTTTCAGATGGAAGCAGTAATGATTTATATCTTCTGCATCATATGGATAGCTTTGAATCTACACGTAAGCTGTGGAAAACCCAAGAAAGTACCAAAAACTCCGCAGAGTTCTGGGAAGAGGGAGTCGGAAAGAAGCAAGAAAAAAGAGAAGTCCCAAAAGAAGCAAAAAACTCCATTAGTAGAAAAATCTGAGGGGGAGAAGGAAGAGGAAAGCGACTCTCAGCAAAAACCGAAGGAATCGAAAAAGGAGGTGCCAAAAGAGCAACCAAAAGAAGTAAAAATGGAGGATTCAAAGCCTATAGTTGTATCACCATCACCTGAAAAGGGAGCGAAGAAAGAGGAAGCGCCAAAGATTGAAGAGAAGTCGGGGAAGAAGGATAAGGGAGACAATACTGTGAGGGAAATTGCGCAAAAAGACCTCGCCAAGGAAGTAGTGGAGAAGCATAAACCTACAATAGTTACAATAAGTAAGTTACTTGGTGCGTGAGATTGTTGCGAAAAACTTTTTTCAGGCAAAGAAAACGCCGATCCAGTAAGTTGAAAAAGTTTTCCGAAATATTGAATCTTATAACCTAGCCTGCTCCTTTAAAAGCACAGTCTCACTCTCCACCAGCTCCCACCTCCTACTAGTTACCGCATCCCTATGAAAACTTCAATGCTCCTATTTACATGATATTGTGAATGGGCTGATAGTCAAACGCAGTTAGTAAGCGTTTCATTCTCTCATAAGAGCTGTCTAAAATCAGTCAAGGTAAGAATTCAGCAAATCGAGCCTGAACGATTGGTTACTCACTTAAAATCTCTTCAAGTTATGTGCGACCCAGTACAGTCCGCTTCCTTTGTCCCCCTTCCTATAGCTTGCGCCATCCATACACTCCTTGGTCAACGGTTATGTCGCTCGCTGTAGCTAATGCATGAGTCCCCTGTGATTCTTCGCTGGATCACCCATTCAACCATCCGTTCACGAATGCGTATGTCCTCTTGGTGAACTTCTTGGGGCGCTCTCGTCAATGACCGTCTCTCGCTTTGAGAAGTGCAGGAAGTTATCAAAACTGCTCAAATGTCTGCAGATTTCGCTCGCAAATCATATAAAGCAATCTTTCGTTTAGTGGATTCCTTACCAAAGGAACACAAATTCATTGCAGCTTCTCTGGCCCGGAAACGATTTTTTTTCAAGGGTTACAGGAGACCTCCCCATTAAGCTTCCGACTAATTTGTACTCTCACACAGACTTGGTGGTCGAAAAATTGCAACGGAGATCATTCTTATGGCAGAGCGTTGAATTGCATTGAAAGTTTGCCTTTCCCATTTCAGTCTTCTTACTTGAACTTCTTAAACCCGTAGGCAAGTACATCCCCGCTGGGGAGGGGAGGGGATTTGAGAGGGGATGCGTCATATCTCGCTACTCTACGTATCCTTCCTCTTCCTTTTCTATCTTGCTTATAAAGGTTCTCATACCCTTGAATCTGCGCAAAATGGATGCCAGGTTACTGACGCGATTGACTTTTTGACTATTTTGTGTGATTCCGGGGGGATCCTCAGGGGATCCACAGAGGATCACCTCTCAGTTTCAATGTCATTTAACTCCCTGAAAACTCAATGAAACACTGTAAATTTGTACTGTGGATATACTACGACGCTGCTAAAGATGATTATCATTACTTATAATAACGGGCTAAGGATGTATTTACGTGACTTTGTGTGTGTGTGTGTGTCTGTTAAGAAATTCGTAGAGCGTGTTCCGGCCAACCTCCTGGGTTCATATTTTGCACAGTGCATGCTATCCGCATAAAAGTCCAACATGCAAAAGCACGAGCAGATTCGTTTAGTGGATCCCTCAGAAACTGCGAGTCAAACGGATCCACATTCCATTTGAGCCGCAACCGCAATGGGTCCGTAATCCTACTTTTTGTAGAGTCGTGGATGTTTATGGCAAGTAAATGTGCAAGCCGTTAACTTAGGCCCAAAAAAGTGATCAAATGTCCATTACTTTACAAAAACGGCGCCAAAAAGTATTGTTTGCTTAAATGGTCAACTTGCCAAGGTTTTACCAGAGCTTTTGACGAGATTTTTGCACAAAGATGTAGCTCACGGTGACTGCTGTTCTTATTGCAACTGTCAGCACCACGGGAAAATCAAAAACCTATAAAAATTTGCGTTTGTTTTCCTGCAAAAAGTCTCATCCACGCGAAATCACCGATTCATAAAAAAGCTTTCGGAATGAGTGGTTGTTTACAGTTTGTTCGTAATAGTCGGCATTGCTCGGTGAGTTCCAATGCCATCATTGTGCGAGAATGAGTAGGGCCTAGATAGTGGAGCCAGTGCGAGCCTCTGCGAAGCAGAGGTGACGCAGTGGTAGTAGAAATAAGTGAAATCTCAGAATATCGAAATCTTCGGTAATCCCTAGCTCGCGAGCCAGGGATCATCGAAAAATTCACAATCTTCAGATTCCATTTCTTCTGTCAAAAATATGCTTAGCAGTGCCATAGTATATCCTCAGTACAATTTTACAGCTTTTTCATTGACTTCTCAGGAATATAAATCACTTTAAAAGTAAGAGGTGATCCTCGGGGTTCCCCAGGGGATCCCTGGGGATCACACAAAATGGCAAGAAACCAATTTTGTATGGAAGCAATCTGGCATCATTATGCGCAGGTATAAGTGCATGAAAAACTTCATCTTATATATAAAGCTGAATGTCTGTTTGTATGTATGTATGTCTGTATGTCTGTCTGTGTGTACGTATGTTCCGAATAGAAAATTCCATTTCTGAACCGATCCGGACCAAACTTGGCACACATACACTACGGGCCCCGGCGGGTGTCATAGGCTACTTTTCGTCATCGATCGATATCGATTTTATCGTTTTTTATCGATTTTTTTGCTGAGTTCACCTACGGGGCTGGGAGTTGGCACAGGGGGGTAATCGAGCATGGGGATTCCGAATACAATATTGGTTTTCAGGATTATCGATTACTTTTATCGATTTTATCGATTTTTTTGCAAAGTTTGAGCTAGGGGGCTGGGAGTTGGCACAGGGGGGTAATCGAGCATGCTGATCATCCCCCTGATCAGCATGCTCGATTACACCCCCTGCCAAATTACAGCCCCTAGCTCAAATTTTCAAAAAATCGATAAAATCGATAAAAGTAATGGACGATCTTGAAAACTAATATTGTATTCGTAATCAGCATGCTCGATTACCCCCCTGTGCAAAATCCCAGCCTCGCATGTCAAAATTTACAAAAAATCGATAAAATCAATAAAAGTAATCGATAATTCTGAAAACTAATATTGTATTCGGAATCCCCATGCTCACTTCCCCCCTGTGCCAACTCCTAGCCCTGTAGGTGAACTCTGCAAAGAAATCGATAAAAATCGGTAAAATCGACATCGATCGATAACGAAAAGTGGACTGTGACACCCGCCGGGGCCCGAAGTGTATGTGTGCCAAGTTTGGTGCGGATACGGCGGAGTCGGGTAAGCCAGCTAGTAAACAATACATAGAAAGAAGAGGAAAGATACGTAGAGTAGAAAGATATGACGCATCGCCTCTCAGATCCCCTCCCCTCCCCAGCGGGAATGTACGTGTTAATCCTGCTCTTCTAGCGGCACTCCAATTTTGACTCGTTCACAACAAAGTTGTAAATGGACTTCTTCTTTAGAACGGCCTTTCACAATTTGTAAAGAAAATTCAATGCTATACCATGAACGCCTGTTCAGAGAACAACAGTTGATGATGTTGATGATGTTCTGAGGTTGGTGTAGAGCACTTCAACATTATCAAATGCAACAAAAGCTAGAAGCTAAGATGTCTAGATTTGATAGGATCTCTTGTGAACCTGATAGATGGGCTATGATTATGAAAACGGCAAAGTAAATGCCCAAAGTGTTGGAACCTTTACCATTAGTAGTCCTATCAGTAGTCCGTTAAACGTCTACTCTCTGCTTTTGTTGCCTGCGAATCAAATGAACTTTACTTAATGTGCTCTATTGCTTTGGAAAAGACATGGAGGTTGGCATTTTTATCACTGTTCCTGTTTAGGCGCACCGGGAGGCAATAGCAAGTCCTTACGGCAAACCTGTGATTTATTCTCCGAATCGGACGGCGCCTTGAGCACTCTAAGGCCCCGGCCAGACTTCACACGACTTAACCATCGCGATCTAATCGCCAAGATTTCCATTCATTTTCATTTCACATTCAAAAAATTCGGGCTGGAAAAGTATCACAACCGAATGCAAGTTGATCGGCATGGAATGATGTTGTCTCGTCGCGATTCAGTCGCGACGAGACAACTGTTACGAGTTCATTGCATGCCGACCAGCTTGCATTTCGGTTGTGATACTTTTCCAGCCCGAAATTTTTGAATGTGAAATGAAAATGAATGGAAATCTCGGCGACTGAGTCGCGACGATCAAATCGCGTGAAGTCTGCCCGGGGCCTAAGGCAGGGGCTCCTCGAGAAGTATAGCATGGCAACGGGCGATCTTCGGTCGCTACGACTGGCGATCGTTAGTCGCTAATATTAGCACTGCACATTAGATAGCTATAGACTGCTGACATGACTGTATGTGTCAAATCGAAACTATCCAACGCGTACTCGCCAAAGCTGGCGATCACCAGTCGTAGCAATTGGCGATCGCCAGGTTTTGGCGACTACACATTTGGTACGTATCGATTTTGAACATGTTGAAACTTATTAGCGATTAATTTCTATTTTAAGTGTAGTCGCCAGTATTTGCGACTGGCGATCGTCCATCGCTAATCTAGGCGACAAAAATCGCTGATTTTACACTATTTGATGCATATCGATCGAAGGGGTGCTATACTCCTTAAGGAGTATAGTGTCTGCCTAACAGCGATCTTGTAGCAGAACATTGCTTCAACTGGAAGTTGTGTAGGGCTAGTTCATTTCCTGTTAAAACAAGCACTTTTTATGAGCGTTGAGAAACCAACTCTAGCCTCGCTTCGAAAAAGTTGTTGATAATACGTAGCGGCGGCGAACATGCAGAGATGCTTACCACAGCGAGAGAATTTGACCGAGTCTACCGAACTGAGCGTCCTGGATGTCGAAAACCAAAAATGCCGAACTTTCTCAAAGCTTGGTGTAGTACGCTATATGTTTTTACTGCACCCTCAGTATTACATGGCACATAACATAATTATCTATGTGATGTTCAAAAGGAAAACCCGTTTGGAATAAGGCTTATGCAGCAGGATACAGGATATACTGTTATTTACTTACGGTAGTGGACTCCCTGAAATAGATAGCTGGCAGATGTCACAGATTGCTCTTTCACTGAATTATTTGCAACCCTTGCCACCTCCACATATTAGGCTTGAAAAAATGTATGTGTCATTTTTTAGGATGATGGAAATTACGAAGATGTAAATTTGATGGAAGCTGTAGCACCAGATGGAACACAGCTGTGAGCAGCCTACTTTGCCCATTTTCTTGAGCAATATTGGAGAATTTTGATTTAGGCAACTTATAACAGTGGACCCATTGCATGCAAGTTTTCCCGCAAACGGAGGGCGATCGTTCCATACTATCCTAAATGTTGGCGAGAAGCGAATCATCTTCAAGATGAAGTCCTCCAATAACAATGATTATCGAATCACACCAGTTTATGGTTTTGTTGACCCTATAGGTAGCACAGTAATCCAGGTGCTGCGCTTACCAGGAGGCCCAGTTAGAGACGACAAAATGGTAGTGAATTACACAGCTGCACCGGATGGTGCTACTGACCCGGCTGCAGCTTTCAAAGGGCTCCCACCTACTACAGTCATACAAACAATTCCCGTCATTTTCAGGGTCACCAGTGATGGAAATCTCCCACCTGGTGCTGCACTTGTTCCAGGTGTTAATCCTGCTGCTCTCGTTCCAGCTGCCCCTACACCTGCGACCTGATGTTAAAAGCATACCCCTTGTAAAGTAACCTAAGCTTTTGATTTCTAAAGCAGTTAAACTTGAACAAATTGCATAGCTCTATTAATTTACGCAAATCTAACCATGGTTCTAAGTGAGTTGTTATGGATGAGACTGCAGAATTTGAATTGATTGGCTCGCTTCAATCTTTTAGTTTTTTGTCCTTTATGATTTTATCTAATGAATAAATTTTTTGTAAATCGTATATGCATCTCGTAACGTTCAAATGGACCTATCGCGTTTTCTTAAACCGTTAGCTTACATACCAGATTTTTTCTAGTTTGCTGCACTTCCAGGACCCAGCGAATTCCAGTGAATGGTAGCCTAAAACCGTCTCCGGCTCCATGGCTTACTCGTTATCACGAGCACCAATCAAATTGGGAAATTGTGTTTGCTGTAGTGAAAACGTAATTTGCTTTGCCAAATATAAAATCACTAGTTGGCCTTCCCGGTCCAGCCCGGGGCATTGTTCACTGTGAGCTTCCCCCCCCCCCCCTTATGTTATGGGTAACTCCTGGGACATTCACTTCGAAACCGCATCCTCGTGCTCCTGAGGTGAACATGCGCTTCGCTGCCCTCCTTTACATGAATATGGGAAAATGCTTGATTAAACATGATAAGCCTTCATTTCCTTAGAGAAACGTAAACAAATCAATAAATCGATAGAAGGACCCAGCGAATTCCTGTGAAAGGTAGCCTAAAACCGTCTCCGAGGTCGAAAACATCTGTGTGCAAACTTCCAGCCCAGTCGGTTGAATGGCGCGCGTTTTCATAACTCACATACCCTCCAAACAGACAATTTTTGATTTTTATATATGTAGAGATTAATATTTTGAAGTGGAAGGAAGATACAAAAACTCAGCATCTAACAGGGTCAGAAATCGAATTGGCCAATTTGCACAAGCAACAACTTTTCTTCTTGAGAGAGGTATGGCGAAGTTTAGATTTTATGATCACAAGAGTCTTTCCCTTCCGCAGCAGTAGTTTCCATTTGGAAGTAATAGTAAATGGTTTTCTCTTAAAAGTGAGTAGGCCCGTACGCGTGTAGTCCCTTACTCTAATATGTTGCTGGAAGAAACGGCAGCCACCTCGCAAGAAACTACTACTGAAGTGAAACTTTTATAACATATGTACGTAAGTTCGATCCACGCCTAAGCCACTGAGCGGGCTTAGCGTCGCGAAAATGACGAAAATCAATTCAAAAATCGGCGACCCCGAGGCAGGGAATATCTGAGAGAGGTATTTTCTAGCAAATTGCCTCCAGAAATCTCTCCAGGAATGATATCCACGAAAGTCCCCGCGAAATGGGCTTCTCGTGCGAATAAAATAGACTTAGTCCTGCGGTACGATAAGATGTCGGATTCGCGAATCCATTCATTACATACAAAACTTCTTCAGTGAAGCATTCTTCAACTAGCTTCAACCTGTTTGCTCACTCTTGCAAACTCATTTCCACCAAGTGGTCGGTATTTAATTAGGCTGAGCTAACATTGCAGTGTCAGTCACGTTGGTATTTCATTCTTTCCCACTTCGTTAAAACGCACAAAATGCCATTTATTATCGATGACTATGCAGCTAAATTACTTACAAAACCAAAATTCATGTAATATCCGGGTCATCGCTTTTCAAGACTTCTACGAATCTCATTAAGTCAAATATGTAGAGTGTGTAGAGCTTTCTGCAGAAAGCAAACCTTGGCCTAGATGCGCTGCAATCTATTCAAAATGCTTATCTCATAGGAAACCTTATACTACACTACACCCAAAGAGTTTTTTAAGTCGGAGAAGTTACGAATCTGCAAAAAGATGACTTCACAAATGCGCGGCATTAGCTCTTCTTTCCCTTTTAGCACGAATGTTTTCATCTCTCAATAGTTGAATGTAGGCACTATTGCTAGTAAGAAATTTTTCACAGAATTTTTCTTGCTAGCTAGCGCTATTTCAGTAATTCTTGCGACCAAACTCAAAATCGCGTTCAAAATGCCGTCTTTGAGGTTCGGTTTTTTAATTATAGAAACTACTCTTGCTACGAACGGCGGCTTTAAGCCGCCGTTCGTAGCAAGAGTAGTTTCTATAATTTCTTGAAAAATTGTTTCGTTTCAAATGCTCGCATCCCAAAATATAAGATTGATTAATTGTTATTGGAGACGCTTGTCTGGTGATTTGCAGATAGTTCAAGAAACTGCGGATCAAGAAATCAAGAGATCAGAGTTTTTCAGACGGAAATCAAATCTAAACAAAATTCAGAATAAAGTATGGGACTCCTCAGAATGTGCTTGAGTTTCATGCACACTCTGGCCTGTTTGAAATATTCCTCTTTTAGGCGAGTCGGTCAAGCCAAATTCGTGACGTCTGAAAAGATTGTTATTGAACAACAACTCATGCATAGGTGCAATATTCTGCGCATGCATTTATAAGAGAATGGAAAGCGACCCTTAAAAAGCTTTTTCTTTCGCTTACAAAAGATCTTACAGATTTATGTCGTGTTAGGCGTTAAAGACGAGGGTTGATGTAATCAACAAGTTATCGTTACATCAACTCGCTACATAGTGAAACGAAAGATTCGCGAGCGTTTCACTATGTAGCGGGTGAATGGAAAAGTACAGATATTTGTGTCCACAAATGACTTTAATTATCATTCAACATTTTAACACGTTGACGACGAGCCATTTTTTGAAGGTCTGTCCCTTGGACGAACCGTTTCCGGGCATTTTCACAGCCGGCTGCATCTTATACATAAAGCTGAATGTCTGTTTGTATGTCTGTCTGTATGTCTGTATGTATGTACGTATGTTCCGAATAGAAAATTCCATTTCTGAACCGATCGGGACCAAACTTGACACACATACACTTCGGGCCCCGGCGGGTGTCATAGGCTACTTTTCGTCATCGATCCATATCGATTTTATCGATTTTTTGCAAAATTTGTGCTACGGGGCTGGGAGTTGGCACAGGGGGGTAATCGAGCATGCTGATCACCCCCGTGTGGGTGATCAGCATGCTCGATTACACCCCCCTGCCAAATTCCAGCCCCCTAGCTCAAATTTTGCAAAAAGTCGATAAAATTGACATCGATCGATAACGAAAAGTGGACTGTGACACCCGCCGGGGCCCGAAGTGTATGTGTGCCAAGTTTGGTCCGGATCGGTTAAGAAATGGAATTTTCTATTCGGAACATACGGCGGAGCCGGGTAAGCCAGCTAGTATATATATATGCATGCATCTATGAGTGAGATACACAAACGCAAGTGGGCGGGGCAGCTCCGCCCACTTTTGGAAGCCCCGCCCACTTCTCAAAAATGCTGGAAATTGCTCAAAATCCATGAATTCGTGCAAATTCCGGCATTTTTGAAAAGTGGGCGGAGCTTGCCACTGGGGGGGGGTGGAGCCTGCATTACGGGGGGCGGGGCCAAATTTAAGATTATTTGAGGTTCCCCTGTCATCTATGAGCATGTCTATGCGATTTGAGAACGAAGAAAGTTTTTTGTAGAGGGCAATGGAGTGGGCGGGATTTGCCAAAAAGGGGGCAGTGCCAACATGAAATACTTTCGAGCCTAACTTGATTATATGAACACAATGGAACCATTGTGCACATTGGAACTGAAGTTTAGGGTGTCGCGCACCATTGCGCGACATCGTCCACAGGGACAGACTGCCTGTCGCGCACCATTGCGCGACACCGTCGTCAACGTGTCAAGCAACAGATATTACTCATGCTGCAAAAAATCAAATAATCGATAGTGGTAATTAGTAGTTCCGGAATAGATGTCTTATTGACACACACCATTCAAGTCTGCCAAATCTGATTCAGTTTTCTTTCATGATTTCCTCCATCCTTTTTGGCGAGCATAAGAAATCTTCTAAGAGAAGCTTGCTTAGTCAAAATGGCCTCTGTAAATGAGATGTATACGATATTGAAGGGCTTGAAACGCTGACTCCAAATCTGCCTTCCTCACATGCGGAGCGTTTATGCACGAGAAGTTATGAGCGTTTTTTAAAGCCAAAAATTGAACGTGAGTTTTGGATAAAGAGTTGCTAAAGTCGTACTAGCCCTCAAATAATGCAACCAAGCGTGTATTTTTTATTTGATAGTATTTTTTTGGATAAAGTGCCCTGATGATTATCATTGCTCCGTTGAAGAGCTAGAAAAAGTATTACGGCTATTTTGTCCTACTTGCACATTTAATTCCTTGCCCCACTAAGCGCTCACAATCCTCGTCCATAAACGTTTTGCGGATAACAAAGGCGGATTTGGAATCAGCAATTTATGCCCCCCCCCACTCCACACATCGCGTCTGCCAAGTCTGGTTCAAAAACCATGATTCCTTCCACCCTTTTTGGCGAGCATAAAAAATTTTCTAACAAGGGAAGCGTGTTTAGTCGAAGTGGCCTTTTCAGATAAGATCCGTACTGCTTTGAAGAGTATTAAGCGATGATTTCAAACCTGCCTTCCAAATCTGCCAAGCGCCTCTGGACGCCGAGCTATGGCCGTTTTTTGAAACAAAAAAATGGATGCAGAATTTGGGCAAAAGTTGATTATTACAATCTTTACAGCGCTCAGATAAAGCAATTAATTGTTAGCATCTTAGTTAAAAGGTATCCGTTGCATAAAGGGCTCTGATACTTGACACTGGACCATTTAAGGAATTTTGGGCGATTTCGTTCCAGTTTTGCGTTCAATTTTTTGAACTGAAAAACTAACCTATAACTCGGCGTCCAAAGGCGCTTAGCAGATTAGGAAGGCAGATTTGAAATTACCGCTTAATGCACTTCAAAGAAGTTTGGGTCTTATCCGGAAAGGCCACTTCGAATACGTAGGCTTCCCTTGTAAGCAAAACCTGCAAAATTCAATAAATCGTCAGAGGCAATTGGTAAGACCTGAAAAATGGCCTATCAACACATTCACCCATACCCTTTGCTTCAACCAGAACGGCGGCTAAAAGGCGGAGCTCCGTGACCTTGTTAAGGCTAAAAACTGATCAG